ATTTTCCTTTTCTGTTAATTTTTGTGTTTTGTATATATCACTTACTGTTCTAAATTAATTACTTATAACATGTGCCAATGGCCTATGGTTGTCGAGGCACTCAAACCAAACTAAAAAAAAAAAATGATACTCATGCTATCCTACTCAATTTAAGAGACCCTGTATATTCAAAACTGTATAGTAATTTTGTGTTAAATTGGTCCCTTCCTTGATGCATTTATTGTTAAATGTTTAGAGTGGATTGTAATTGAAAAGGGGTTAATCTCCAAAATGCTAATTAAGGAATAAACCTAATTATTTCCTATCATGTCTTTAATTTGCCTCTGTGCTACTTGAAAATACCTAATAAACGAATAATATTTTAACTCAAAATCGTACAATACACAACGTAAGAAGTGAGTCTATGAAAAGGTGGGTGTTATATTAGGCAGTACATTACCACACTATGTTTTCCGTCAAAAATTAACTACCTACGTGCGTGTCCTCAGAATTATTTCTGAATCTCAATCCCAATCTGGGATTTTTCCTTGTTACGGTTTTAGTCCAGAGAAAATCCAATTTCGCTAGTCTCCATATTATAATCGAAAGATGGCCTGTACATAAATAAAAATCAAAGATCGAATTGACTGTAAGCGTTTCAAACGAATGTTATTACGAGAAATAGTTTCTCTTTACTTCCGTCCCTAATGGCTTCATAAAATGTAAAAATTTAATTACAGTTACATAACCGTTTGCAGTTGTTTCAGAAATGTGTTTATTAAACTAGTCGTAAAATTAGGAAACCACTTTTATTACCAATAATCTGGAAATGAACTGTATTTTCAACAGCAACAAGTTAATACAGGAAAAGCAACTGGTAGACGTAGAGCAACAGGCGTCGAGCGATCCGGTCGATCAACAAGTAGAAACTTTTGGCGTCGACGGCGCCGCCTTGGCCTTATGCCAACTACTAGTTGCTAATTCTCTGGTCGCTTTTGAATCAGAACACTTTACGGCATATTTATTTCGCTTATATATTTCTTTTTATTTCGCGCAATAGTAAAGTGATATTTAATCTATCTCAATTTCTACAGTAATGTACTTCTAGAGGCGATTAAAGCATTCTCGGCGAAGCAATTTAAACTAGAGGATTTGATTATTAACAGTCAATGAAGCGAACATCACAGTTCAAATGAACTTCGAAACTCATTAGATTAGTAACTTAATTGAGTTAACCGCAATCTGTTGCTGCGATTACTAAATGACTAATCACCTGGCAGAAATTTTTTAAAAAGTAGCAGTGTTTCTGTACCAGAAGGTGCTAACGTTCTTCAGAATTTTACGAAAATTGTGGAAGGCCTGAACACAAAGCTTTCGCGAGCATGCGTTCTTAATCCATTCTACCATCTCCAAATATATATTTGAATCCGAGTGTCAAAAAATCTCTTATTTTACGGTCAAAGTAGAAGTTTTGTACTGGATGTTTAAATGGCGCAGATACTGCAACGTTGTCAACTAGCACAACTTTCCACATCATGGGATCAAAAAAACAAAACAACTGTTTTTTACGACTAAATATAATTACGGGACACCCTGTATATAACAATGTTTTAATTTATATAAATGAATCTGGTAGATTATTTACGAAATAAGCGTTGAATTATTGTATTTGGATTTGTCTCAATGTAACTGCGTATTATTTTCTTGTTTAAATTTGGTCGCTTTTGTAAAATGTTTATTTAGATTTGTGTATTTAATTGTAAAACGTGTTAAAATGTAGAGATCTGGTCGTTTGCGATAAAGAATCTTATCAGACGAAATTTATTTAACGTACGTGTTCTTATCGCTGTTAAGAGATACGGTATTTGGAAGAACTGCGCCTTTTTCCGGCGTAAGTGGGGACGTGCAACGCGTTCTTTCAAAGCTGGCGTTATCAAGTCCGTTGTAAGGAGTATATTTGATGGTGAAAGATGCGTTTATTTAAAGCCGGCCCGTGTGGCGCAGTTCAGTTAAAGCTGAACTGTGGTGCTAAGGGTCCCTGGTTCGAATCCGGGTTCGGGCATAGATATTTGTAAATGTATAGTGGGTTGGGTTGGTAGAGCAACCTTGGCTGAAACCCCGCCCACCCAAAAATAAAGGCAAACTAAAATAAAAAATTATATATCCATGCCCGAACCCGGATTCGAACCAGGGACCCTTCCAAAACGTTTATATATTTTTTATGTTCTTAGTTGCCTTTATTTTTGAGTGGGCGAGGTTTCAGCCAAGGCTGCTCTACCAACCCAACCCCGTATTTTTTTTAATGGGGTCATCCCGCCTTCATTTTTTATTTCTGATCCACAAAGTACATTAAAAATAAAAAGACCCGTGTGTCCTCAATTTGAAACGCTTCAGACTAAATACGTCACAAACCTACAACCAATCACGTAGAACAGAGCTGGCAACCTTACGCGAGGGTCTGACGTTTGTCACATTTGACGTTTTGAGAGGGATGTTTAACTGCATCTATCACGAAAGTGACAAGTGCCTGTGACAGATGACGCAAGTTATAAATGCCATTCTCCTGCAATATTGCCAAGTCGTTATGTCGTCTGAATGGTTCTAGGAGCTGATTGGTCGGGCTTATTACGTCACAGAGCCCGCCACAATCATATCGTTTTGAATAAACCTTTAAAACCCCACATGTTCATTATTTTTTTTGCTAATCAGCCTCTATTTTTAAATAAACTTTTACTGTCCAAAAAAATGATTTAGGTTTCAGGTACACGCTTATTAAATTAGAACTGCGGAATTCAACTATACTGTAAACCCCCATTGTTTCATGTGTTTCGGTCATTGCCAATCAAATTGTGTGCTTATTCGAATCCATTGCGCGATCCAGATAGTCTTGTTCGTGTCAATTCGCGCCCAAGATTTATTTCAGATGTGAATCAAAATTTGTGTGATAAATTTTTGGAATTTTCAGAAGTTGATCGAGGTCAACCAGTCTCTCACATTGAGAAGTGTTAAGACAGTATTACGATGAAAAGCTCTGTAAATCCCTTTATTTAAATGTAAATTAGTTTTGTTGGTAGAATTATTTCATAGTTCGTTATTATGCCGTTAGAGGTCACCCGAATGTAATTTTCTTTATTTTGTCCTCTCCTCTTGATCTTCTTTTCGTTCTGCGTGCGCACTACTACAAAATTGATTCTTGCTTCGATCGTTACTGTAAAGAGTTAACGCGCCATTTGATTTTTACTCAACCTTTTTGCATACCCGTTTAAGGATTTTATCTGACCGGAGGATTTCTTGTGTTTAACACTATTGCTTAATTGAAATGCTTTTAGTGGATATACTTTACCAGCCTTACGATCTGCGCCATCCGTGATTGTCCCAGTGGCCTACCTACAAATTATTTACATTTGGAGACGTATTTGTTCCTGAATTTTAACTGGAAGTATTGCAAACCTTTTGGAGATTATTGCTGTTGTAAATTGCTACGTACCCTTTTGCCGTTACGAAAGATACATCTTCCGAGATTTCGATTTTGTCTACGTTAATTTGTTGTTGCGAAGATTCATTCGTTTCATATTAGTCTGTTTACCGATATTTAGTTAATTGCTTTTGAATAGTAAGTTTAATTATTTAAATGAAATTTTTATTTTATCTTTACCCGCTTGTAAACGACAGCTCGTTGTCGAGTAAGAATTTTGCTATTGTTTAGTTAACGTAAATTGAGTTATGGTTTCCTCATTAAGTGTTAATTGCAGTTTGTAGTATTCGAGCACCCGAGTGTCAAACGTCAGACATTGCTATCGCTATATTTAAGTACCGCGCTCCTTATTATAAAGACCAGAACTAAGGATCTCTTAGTCTTCCTTATTTTTCCTTCAGGTAAATATTATCTCTTCTCTTTTGAAATTTACTAAAGACTAAGTGGGGCCTATCCGGTTTTGCTACATTTCTTTTTTCTTCGTTTTGGCTGGTGTAGGAGAACCCCTTAATCACCCCGACCCATCTCTACTTTGCCTGAGGTTACCATGTGCTTATCTAAAGGTAATTTTGTTGTGTTTACTCAAAGTGAACGTAATAGGTAGAGAATGGTCAAGTGACTAACTGATTAAATTTTGGTTCAGAATAGCTCGACCCTCCGTTAACAAAACCCGCCATTGGAATAATTGCTATCTAGCAGCTTCCACTTCTGAAGTTTAATGGTTTAGAATGCTTAGTCTTAAAAAAAATGAGTTTAACGTGAAAATGACATTTTCAAAATATCTCAAGAGATGTCCTTTTTTGTTTTTGACCGAAAATTATGTTTCTGCAGACCAAAAATTAAGTGAGATATGGCCGTTCAAGTTATGCATTTGCATGCGAAAAATGCCTTCACCTATCCCTTTTAGCTCAAATCGAGGCTCAAATATTAAAATATCACCTTAAAATGTCATCAATTATCTTTTTTGTCGTTATACATTTCCCATTATCTAAACTAACAGACTGCTGGATCAATAGTTCGATCATTTGTGTATTTCGAGACCGCCAGAATTGTATAAAATTAAACACGAACATTTTCACACATTTTGAAAAATGGTTCACAGCAAATGTATTTGATCGCCTTCAAAATCCAGACTAGCAACAAACTTTTTGAGCTCCCTTAGAAACATATTACCTAATATAGAATTTGTATAATAGTTTTTTTTTCGGGGATATCACTCTCAATATGTTTATTTTCTGTATGGAATTCTTAATGACAGTTCATACATAAACGTATGATCATTTCTCTTATATATTGGATCTATCACTCACGCAGATACATTTTTATTCATATAATATGGTTATTATATAATATTTTTTGTATTTAGAATTTGTATATATTCTTTCAACAAGTATAATATATTTCAAATACCCAAAATACTTACTTAGCTCTTGTCTATGGTGCGATTTTACGAAACACCTTCACATGATGACAAGTTTCGCTACTAATTGCAAAATCGGATTGAACCAACTAGATAATTGTAAATTATTCATAAACTAGTACTTACCGACTAATGCCAAAATGACTGTAAGCAGAGGCGCAGCGGGAAACGTGACGGTGACGTTAAATTCAAGCATTTGAAGTAAATCAACTGAAAAAGAAAAGAAAGAAATTATTAAACAAATAATAGGACCAAGTAATCCGGCATTGCGAGTATTGATCTGATAGTCGATAACGACAAATACGTTTGAACTTATACTAAAGTGGTTGTCCGACAGGGAGCATGACGTTGCCAAAAGCTGCTGGTCACATTTTATGTAAAATACTTCCACAAAGAGGATCAACTGAGCAGTTTGTTTGCTGGACTGTGGTCTTCCGGCCCGAGGGGATAGGTCCCTAGGGAATTCGTAGTCACAGACACCGCTACAGCGACCGATTTAAGCTTTCGACATAAAGACATAAATACACGACTACGGCGGGATATGAAATATAAAACCGACAAAGTACAAAAACGAAATAGTAAATGTCGCAAACTCTTGTCGCCTTGCAATCAGTTTTAATGAAATGTCGCCGTCTTAGCGGCCATATTGATTAGCCGGTAATTTTTCGTCTCTTTTAGAATCGCGCACTACAGCGACTCTTCTCGCTCCCTTCATCAATCTTGCTCTAATAATTTATGCATACCCAGCACGGACGCTTGTAAACTTTTATCATTACCGAAGTACACTCAAAACACGAACTCTTTTCTAATTACGAAAAAATTCATTTTGCACGGTGATTAGTTTCGTCTAAAATTTGACGGACGCTGCCAGTAAACTTGCAACAAGCTGTATTCTTAATTGAATAAAAAAGTTGCGAAACAATTTTTTTTCTTGCGAAAGGATCGCCCAAAAATTAATTTTAATTTAAAACTATATTCCTTGCTGCTTGACAAATTTGCTAGGTACCTACTTTAAATAAACCCCTGTTAACAGTACTTTCTTTTTTAATTTCTGACATTTAATTCTATATGCTACTTTTAACTAGAAGTTTGTCCTAGTTTTTTTACTTCTAACTGAAAGTTTGCAGTAGTTGCTACTTTTAATGGGCACTTTATCTGCTTTTACTTTTAAACAACGATAAGGCTACTTTTAATTAGATTTATCCTACTTGTTACTATTTACCAGCAATCAAGCTTTTTTGCTGCATTTAACTACAAGTTGGTGTTAAATGCAATTTGTCAATTTGTAAGACTTGCAAATGTAGCAAAAAAGCTCAATTCGGTGCTAACTAGCATTCACTATTTTTAATTTCAAATTTGCCCTAATCGCCATTTTTAAGTAGCCATTTACGCTTATTTCCCACATTTCACTGCAAGTGGGTGCCAATTGACAGTTGCTACCAGTACTAACTTGCAGTCAAAGGTAGAAAACAGGGCCCGTTAAAAACAGCGAAATTGAACCTTGGTTTTCAAATGCATTTTATCGTGGAAACTCGTGGAAAAAATTATCACAAACCTTCTATAGTACGTAAACGGAGCATTTCCAATTCGGATAAAGCTACATATTAACAAAACAAGTGATATAAAAACAAAATAATTTTTCTAAATAGAAACGTTACTTTTTTCTGCAATATTCTTAAAGGGCTTGGAATTCTCTTTAAAATGATATCAAATACCACACAATCGCGTAGGTGTGGAAATTTAAACAAAAACAAAAGAGCGTTTTTCACTTTTTTTATTTAATGAACAATATAATTTATAAGAACCACAATGCAACAAACAATAATGACACAGATGATGAAAGATCTTCAGGGTTTTAGTTAGATGTAATGATAATACATAGGAAGCAAGTGCAATGTATTTAAATTTGTAATTTAATTTATAATAGTTATTTCTGTAACTGCTTTTCATTTGTTTTCTTCGTTTCCTGTTGTAGATTTTATGTTTTTGCTTAAATTCCACAGCTACTGCGATACGTTCTAAATACATTACGGTAGCTTTAATTTGGAAGGTAATTATCATCAAGAAAATTTCAAGCACTTTAAGCATATTACAGAAAAAAGTTACCGCCTATTTAAAAAAATTAAGTTGTTTTCTGACGCTCTTTTGTTTTTTATCACTTGTTTTTTTGAATATGTAGCTTTACCAGAACATGAAAGTAGAGTACCTATTTTTGTTTCTTACAGTTTTTTCTCCAATAGTAATAGAAATATACGCTTGGACACGCAAAATCAATCACACTGTATAGGCTGCTTCACGCAAATCGTTACCTAAAAGTGTTCAGGCTCTCATTAATAATTTAAATTTGAAAATTTGCAACTGGCCTAGTTTATCATGATCTTTATAAAGAAAATGCTATGATCGTTTCACTTCCGGCTGTACTGGATGTAGCTAGCAACTTTCTTATTTTAAATAGACCACCTTGTATTTTATTGCATTTTCAAAAGCTACATAAAAATCTACGTCGTTTGATCCAACATTTCCCTATACTCAGCATCAACAGTTTTCAAATTATTCAAGATTCTTCCAAATTTTTACGTTTGACTGCTTTTCTCTTGGGCCCTGTACCTATGACTCTGTTGACTTAAAAAAATCAACAATACTGACTTGATGCTCCATGAGAATGACTTAAATTTTGATCGGCCTTCTACAGGGTGTTTTTAAACTAATGGTCAAACCGCAAAAAGTTGATTTTTCCAATTCTTAGCTTTTTGCACTTTCAAATGTCGAAAAAATTCTACATCGATCGTTTCTCATGGGTAGAATGAGCTTCAAATTGAAACCAATAGTTTTCAACAGGTAATGTAATATTTAGATACTGTTTTTACTTATTATGAGTAGCATCATTTAATAAAATACATTCTTACCATTAAAATTGTCAATAAAAAGCTATTGTAAAGCACTGTAACAGTTTTAAAATAATATTAACATTTCTGTCCATATTTCAATTTCCACCTGTATATTTTCTAAATTTTCTCGTCATTGAATGCGACCAATTTCTAGCTACTTTTCCATTTCTGTGTTTGCCTCTCCAATTTAACTTGTCTTCTTGTCGTTAGAGGGCATTTAGCTTGTTTTGCTTTTTTTATGTTAACAATTAAATTACCTTATATGGTCATGTATCAATATCAAATACTATCCGTAGCTTTGGCTTGGGTAAAAATTTCGAAACCTGTGGCGTCTTCCAGCAACCTGCAATAGAATCGGTCGTGCTAAATTCCCGAATTTGACTACTTGATATATTTTCCAATGGTCGAATTGATTTAATACTTAGCGGAAGCATCTTTAACCAATCGATTACCCGTTGTGCCGACAATTTGTTTTTGGACGTTCGGTTACAATTTTTTCCGAAATGGACTTTTATTACGGAACACTCAAGCATTCCAAATCGGGAACAAATACCGACCATATAGTAAATTTTGAAGACATTTGGGACGTATCCAGTTCTTTTCATTTGTGTACTCTCTGAATAAGAGGTTAGCATTATTGGGGGTTATAACGTAGTCGTAACTAGGTTACTTTTTAGAGTCTTTGCAAGGGGGTTTATATTCAGCTGAATCCGGGGAAATAATCGGCCTACTGCAGATGAGTGTGCTGTAAAACATCCCGCTGAATCATTAAGATCTTAAAGGGCAGCCGAACGTAGATCGTGAGAGAAATATACCTGGAGCACAAGCTTTGTTACCTCCTTAGGAGTTATTTTTGGTTACACCAGGAACCTTTGGAATTGCCGACACCATTTATCGTTAGCAGTAACGTACCTTTCACTTTTTTTCTTTTGTTAAGACCTAAATATCTATGAACAGTTTATTTGACCCACATATGTAAGTGGAAATTTTTACGTATAATTAGTATGCTTGATCTTTAGGACTGTTTAACTATCAATAAGAATTACTCTAGAGAAGTAATCACTTGTAAGGTAAAGAGCTCGTTACTACGATTAACTTCAACACTTCAAGCTACCGATTATAGTACATCATTTCAATTTTAATTTCTATTAATTATACTTGTCGTTGCTTAGCGGTACGAGATGTCACATAACTTCAGGGGTTGTTGGTGGGTTAATTTTTGTGTTAATAGTTCATGGGAAGATTTCATTTTTTTTTGTATCTTGCATACTCTTTGCTTAATAAACAATAATTTTTCTTGTGGATCAATTGTTGATTCTTTTTACTCTGAAGCTACCTTTCCTAATTCCGGTGGCTGCAGATAAAATTGGTAGCGGAATTAGGTGGCGCCCGAAAGACTTGAATCGAAGCACCAGTAAGTATTAGTGGTGGAGATTTACTTGGAACCTTTTATGATGTTGTCAAAGTTTTTAATTCACTTACCTACTACCCTGAGTAAGAGTATATCTCTCTACGCTGTTAACTATTTGGCTAACAGAGCTAGCTGGCCGATCAGCGGCGTGTGTTGATTTTAAATTGCACATGGTATTTTATAGTGCCCTGCATTCTAAGCTTGCGCGTTATAGCACCTTCCGTTGTGTTACGATGTTATAACAAATATTTCTCCCAATAATTGATGTTTGATCAGGGTCACAGATTTAAGAAAATGTTTAGATGGCAAAAAAATATTTTGTTTGGCACATTCTTCTATATTCTATTCGTCTAAATTGTAGGACAAAAGTCCCATAAGTCTCGTAAGGTGTCAAATGAAAAATTATTGTCAAACGGTCCTCTAAAAGTTATATAAGGATCTTACGTATACGCAACGGAGTGAAAAAATTAATTATCAAACTTAACTTGAGCTTATTTTTCAAAAGTTCTTCAGATTTGATGATCAATTGAAAACGATTGTTTTTATAGTCATAGTATTTGCGTGTCCTATCAAAGGTGCACATTTTTGTGATCCGGTAACCGATGTGAAGGGCGACTATAATAAAGCCAATTTAAAATATTTTTTTTGCATGCACCTATGGAACCTTGAGTCAAAATAGCGTCCTGTGATCACCAGCCCCTACGGTTAAGCAACACAGCTTACAGTAGGACCGAGATCGAGTAATAAGACGTGCACTGTATACAGCGAGAGCTAGCTAAAAAAAATAAACCCCTGGCTTCCAAATAATGATGGTCTAGGTAAATTCAACTGAAACTGAAAAACCCTTCTTTTAACCGTCCATTTAAAACTATCTGATTTAAACGTACAGCGCGTCTAAAATACGGATGACTAGTTAAAATATTTGTATAATTATTCGCGTGCAAACTAAACTACCCCTTTACTTATCAGCGCGAACTATTTGTAAACCAAATTAACCACTAAACTAATGATGATTAATGCAAAGGGAGAAAGTAGTGTATAAAAAAGAGATTTCGATTCGATTCCGGAATAATTCGCGCTGATAGAAAATAGAAAAATCGAAAGATAGGGGTAGTAGATTCGGGCCATAAGGGGCAGTGGGAAAGAACTTCCCACAAGCGTGGGCGGCGGGCGGATTGACGGATACTGCGGTGATCTCCGGGGGAACGCGTGTGCCGATATAAATCAAAGGACTCACCGATGAACACGAATATCTGGTGATGCGAGTAGCGTAGCAGCATGGACACGGACACCGTCTGAAAAAAAAAAACAAATCATACAGATCAAAAACAAATCCAGCAGAAGCATTGCGGAAACGAAAATACGATTCAACCGCCAAGTTGCATTTGTTTGCTTAGCGAATAGACGTGAGAGAGCAACAGTTTTATTATAAAATGTAATTCTGTCAGACGGTTGTACACGCAACAATTTATATGTCGTTGCACGTTAAAACACAAGTCGACATTTTTTCCAGATTATCCCCAAAGATTTTTCGTCAAGCACAAAGCTGTTGAAAACACGTCCGTCTTTTTTTGCATAAAATTAAACATTACAAAAAGAATGCATGTCGTGTTTTTCGCCTGAAATTATATTACCAGAGCTTCGTATTTATGCCTGCACACAATTTCAGAATGGCGAACATGAATTTCTCATCATTCAGCTCGTTAAAAGTTTTTATTAATAATATTGATTTACCTTTGGTCCTATCAAAAGCTCACATTACCAATTTACTTGTTTAAACACAAGTGAATTGAACAATAAAACGCTATACTCCTTTGTCCGAAAACTTTTCAGAAATAAATGGAACAAAACGAAATTATATCACTTTACATCTATAACGTACCTATTACCTACACTATAGCATATTTATACAAAAAAACATCTACAAGAAAAGCTTGTATTATTAGCACGAAATTAATCAAAAAATGTGCTCTTCCCATGCTAAGAGAAAAAAGAACGTCAACTGTTAATCTTTTATGGCTAATGTCCTGTAATTTAACTTCAATACTTAGGGTTTCTAATTTGCTTTCTGGAAAAAGATTACCATAAAATGTTGGACATTTTTGTGGCCCCACGTTGCGCGCCAAATAAATAATGCTATGTGCAATGGTATGATTAAAAAATCTGACACAGAAAAATAAAATTCTACCATGATCTCGAATTGCCACATAATAAATTGATAAAAAGAACATCGTTGTTCTCCGGCAACAATCGAAATTCCGCACCGTCACCCGAACTTATCGACACCTGCGTTACTTATCTCGCACGTAGCATTATTTATTCCAAAACCAATTAAACTTTTTACGATTAAATGTTCCCTTATTTATGCGTTTTAAATTTATCATAAAAACTAAATGCAAAAAATAGATTTAAATGAATTAAACAATTAACGACTAACTTTACAATAAGAAACTAACATTAAAAATGGCACATCAACATATTTTCCCATTCTCTTGGAATCTGAACAAACTTGAACTAAAAAGTTGACTTTATATCTATTCAATTTTCTTCAATCAAATGTAATTTATGATGATTTTACAGGAATGGAATAACTGTACCTCATATAAGAGGTCTCTTTTGAAGGTGACGATGTTGACACAAAATTAGATTGAATAGGACCCTGACGCAGGAAAAATATACAACAGAACTTTTTCGGTTAAGCAATGACGCAAATGTTAACTAGGGGTAGTTCTTTAACGGTGAACCCTGGCGTTTAAGAGTTACCGGCATGCCACAAATTTATTAACACAACACGGTTTGGTGTAGGTAAACCAGTTTTACGAAACTTTTTTATATAATTTTTTTTACATTTTTATTTATCCCTCCCTCGTTCTGGAACCTCAACAGGCTTGCGCCCAATTACAGTGACCCCGCATAATGCTTTTTTAGACTATGTAACAATTTTACACTTTAAATTTTCTTACTATTTTTCTCTACACTGCGACGACTATAATTACAATTACGAAGACGAACTTCGATCTCCTCTTTTGTTTCACGGGCAGGAAGTATCTACTTTGAATTTTTAACAGTAGCTCTTTGCGGTGATAAAAATATACTGGCGCGCTGAATTAGTTCGGCCTTGATTGTAACTACGGCTCTTTATACGACAGAAACATGATTACACAACAATCACGTTTTTTTCATTCTTTCTAAGTGCACGATAATCTCCTTTTTTGGGGTGTAAGTTCGAAAACAAATACGTTTAAATAATTCACTTAGAGTTGACGTTTTTAACCATAAAACTTTATCGCAGTAACCGAATTTCATCTAAAGCAACGATTTCATTCGCTGCTTGACGTTTATTTTGCCACCAGGTTCTTCTTTGACACTACCAACGAACATTAAACTCACTTTGACACAATAACCCCTTACTTTTCACCTTTACTTGAAAGGGGGGGTCCCTCCCCCCCAGTAAACGAAGATCTATGACAGTTTAAAGAAATACACATTGAATCTTTCCTTTCTTCTTGGGGGCCAGCGGTTCACGGCGACTAACATGTCCATTATCAGCGCACCAAGTATGTTAACTTAAAACTTAATCAAAGGCAAACCGCGTGTAAAGAACTCCGTACATAGATGACCGCTACAAGTTAGCATATTTTAGGATTTCAGCTCCGTTAATTAAGTATTAACAAGTTTCCCAATGTTAAACGAAAGCATTAGAGCTGCAGTGTACATCATTCAATTTTACGATTGACCCGAAATTCCAGATAACAATGGGCATTACTGGACTATCGAATTGGGCAATTTTAATCCGGTCATTTAGTTAAATATAATTAACAGTAACTAACTAAATGAGTTGCAGTAAATCTCATCCGATTAAGTTGTGGGGGGTCTTACTAAAAGCGCGCTTAATTGAGCTAAATTTTATGACCATTTACAAACCTCCGAGACCGTTCCGAAACGGCCTACCTTGGCCAGAAGTAAGGCTTTAAACTTCTGGTGGCGCTCGCGTCCGTCCGTCCGTGGTTCGAATCCGGGTTCGAGCATGGATATTTGTATAGTGGGTCAGGTTGGTAGAGCAGCCCACTCACAAATAAAGCCAAAGATAAATAAATTAATTAATTGGTTCATTGTTTCATGAATTTAATGATGTTTTTACCATTATATCAAAGCTGTTTGCGTCCGTACAGTAGAAGGTGGTCTAAATTCACCATTAGGATCTCCGCAACAATGAGAGATACAGTGTAGGTTAAATGGGGGCAAATTTGCCCCTTTTTGTGGCTAAAAAAAGCGCTTTCAAGATTTTTGAAAATTCTTCGAAAATAACAGATATCGCCGAAAGACTGAAAATGTCAAATTTTGTTTTCATTTTCCCAAGCTTAAAGGGTCGGAAATAGACGGTTTTTGAAAAAAGAGAACTTAATATCCTACCTTTTTCGATTAAAATACGAGTATAAAGGGTGCTCCATTTAAAAAAATGGAGTCAGATTCGGTAACTTTGTTACCCGACCCCGTATACTTATTTTGAAAACAACAATAATCACCACGTTTGTAATAAACATTTTTATGAATCTTATTTAACTAAGAAAATATAGGGTCATTCTGAAGTTGACAATTTTAATTTTGACCCAAAAGCAGTACTATTATACCAATTACGGGGATACCCTAGAAAAGTGTCGAAGATGGGGCACCCTGTACATTCCCGATGCTACGTATTACAAGTACCTACGACAGTAGTTAATTAGGTTTCCATCTGCTTATTCGCGTAAACTATTGATTACATCCTTGTTGCTGTTATTAATCATGATAAATGTCGCCAAATAATTATTGAAGCACGTTGTTGGTGTGCTCGTACCACGTGCTTTTTTGCTTTCATAATGCAGTCGTTGTAGGCGTTAATGTCTAGTTACGGTCGCTAATTGCAACTAGAACTGTCACTTTATCTCGTTATCCGGAAGCGTTACCGTGATGTAACTAACGTGTACGGTCTATTGATGAACTTACCAACGTTCGCCCTAAGATGCTTATGCAATAGACGGGCAACTTAATAAAAAAAAATATGGATTGAACACTCAAATTATGGTTAGTTACCCCCTCTAGCGAATTGCATATTCCCCTTTAGCTAAGTGAATGTAACTAGTAGTTAGTGTGGCAGTGTTACTTGATAGTTGACATAATTATGTGGTAGCTTAGTGGGCCACCGGGAGTCAGTTAACTCGGTACAGGATAGGGTGGCGTAGGGCTCAGGTTTAGATTTATGTCGCCCGAAACCGGATCTCGTGATTAGCGTCAACTCGAAACGAGAAAGGTCGTTCCTTCATCAAATATCTTTGATACTTTAATAGCCGAAATTTTGAATTATTTATGTACGACCATTAACACAAATTGTAACCCATAACTAAATTTACGATAATTACGTCGGATCTGTTCGTGCCGTTCTGGCACTATTTACCTCCGGAACTTAATACGTACTTAATTAATTCGTACGTCTTATTAAGTTTTATCAGTGTAAGGGGATTGTGTGTGAAAATAGGCATTTTGTCACAAATTACATTATAACCGTTACTTCATACGCGGATTGCGCGCAGTAGGTGGTGCAATAATAATGAGATTTTACGTTGATGCGGAAGTTTTGCAGACTTCCGGTTGTACGCGAAAACTCCATGAATCGGAAACAGACTTGATCCTCTAATCCTTAAGTTCAAACGTACAGGTGTAATTAATTTTATTTTCATTGGGCATTGATCCATTTACAAACGGCATAGAAGCTAATTTATACCAATAGCGTATCGTGCCGTAATATGTTCCTGCTGACTTGGTAATTAGAATGCGCCGTATGATTTTAGTTTAGAGTTAGAAAATAGCAGTTACTTTCAAAAAGGTTTTTAATATCGTTTAATCTGAAAGCGAGAAACACTTGTATTTGATATAAACTGAAATGATTGTGCTATAGAGCCGCGATCTCTCTCTCGACTACTTGGAAGCGAAATAAAGAAATCATATTCTATTCAAACAACTCAAAAACAGAATATTTAAAATGGGAAATGAAAAATGCACAAGGAATAAGCTCCGATTTTAACACCTTTCATTTTCTTTTATACTTCGTAAGCTGCACTGTATAATGTGTAGTTTAAACGATTCTCATTTAGTCGTGCATTTTATGACTTCAAAATCAATTAAATTTCTCATCACCAAAACCAAAGTTGGACGCGCCAAAGGTGGCAAATAAGGGCTCTTAGGCTGTAAGTTATGTGAGACGTGATTGAGATATCGAAGCCATTAGGGAGCCTGAAAAGTGAAGGTCTTGATATACTATTTTCAATCCATAAACGCAAACTTTGCGTCTTATCATGAGCTGACGCTCCATTCATTTCTTTGTAAATAAATTGACACAATCTGAAACCAGAAATCGCAAAAAAGGAACAGGTGTCGGCAGCAAAGCTGTCATTATCAACAAATAGCAGTTTTAGTTAGTTGTAGACGTTGTTTTTGTAGATTTTTGGTGTTTTGTGTGTACTTCAACAGCCACAAATGTCCCTAGTCCCATGTGGTGAGAAAATTTTGTCCACTTTAACAATAAAAAATGTTCAGCTATTCAGGTGATCGACGCGACGATCAAGGTACGGAAAAACAAGTGTTTTGAGTTAACTGCTTTAAGCAAAAATCGTTCTCTCATTTCCCCATCCTCCTTGCTTTTCTCATGCAACATGCCTCGCTCAAACTCTCTTTAGGCCTCTTTTCTCTAAGTATGCGTCCACAATTCAAGTTTTACTTCGCGCCTCCTCCATTACTTTGCGCCTCATTCATCTGCTTTGTTTGGCATTTCTGACGCACTTTTACGTCATTTAAGCCGAAAAGCTGACCAAAAGTAAAAAAATTAAACTTCTTTATGAGGACTTTTAAATTAATAGTTTGTTAGATTTGGTAATTATGATTTCTTTAATTAATTGTTCTATCGATCGCTTATTGCGTGGTATGTGTTATTCTGGCCCTGAGTGCCTGTTTTTCTTTCAGCTTATTTGATTGTTCTGTCGAGATTTGTAAATTGTTGGTTTTGTAATTAGTCTCAAGTTTCGTATCCAGAATTACATCAAGTGTTAATTAAAAATTTGTCAATTAACTATTAGGTCTTTTGGAGGAGATTAAGGCTGCTGATTTTCTCAAATGAATAAAATTTTCATCAATATCGAGATTTTCGTTGTGGGGGAGCGTGCTCTAGAAAAATTATAATTATTTCGTTTAGATTTTGTTAGTGTACCTGAGATTAATTAGTTAGCTGAACAGGTGCTAGCGGGTGGTTTAATGACCGTTTGTAATTGCACATAGCAATATCTAAGTTTCTAAGGCTTTCGAAGCAACATCTGGTGTGTGTAACCGGAATATCTCCGCTTACGCCCCTCATACATGCCACCTATTACAGGGTGGTGCCTAGCGCAACGCAGCATAGGGATTTCAATGGTAATTTCTTTATAGTCAATTACTAGCTCCCCTAATTATTTTAGAGCAAAAGTCTAAATACGTTTTTTTTTAGAAAAAAAATACTGCATCTGTTCATACTTTTAGTTATAATTTTCCATTTTTCAAAACCGTATTTAGACTTTTGCTCTAAAATAATTAGGGGAGCTAGTAATTAACTATAAAGAAATTACCATTAAAATCCCTATGCTGCTTCGCGCTAGGCACCACCCGGTATACGGAGAAGCATCGTTCTGGCAAAGGAAAATTACCGCTTACATATCATTGAAATTAAAAAAACTTTTCTTACGAAAATTGTGAAATTCCGAAGTACTTAACCTTATTTTTGATTTTACAGGGTGTTCCAATATCCTGCAATCTTGAAAAATGTAATTTTTACTACCCACAAGTTAGTCAAAATTGGGGTCAAAAATACCCCCCCTCCATTTTGACGAAAATATGCATCCTTAGACACAAAAGGAAGGGCTGAAAAGCGTTTGGACCGAATCGCGGATGCGCAGGTGTACGGGTAGTCTCAGGTAGTACCCACAGCACATTTTTTTAATGTAGTACCATTGGATAGTACAAAAAAAGAAGACTTTGTGTACACAACATGAGGTCTGTCATACACGGCTACCGAAATACGAGGAGAGTACCATAAGTACTTAGCCTCCTCACACTATGGCAAGAGAAATTTACTATCGTGTGTAGTCTGCGAATTTCAGAAAATTGGAAAAAGGGCAATTTCGATCCGATAGGTGACTCGATTCCTGTTTTTGGAAGGAAAATCGCGCAACGAAACCAAATAGCGCTTGAATGCTGTGTACGGTTTAACGTGGTTCAACGTGGTCGCACGTCGGTTTTTGAGGAGTCACGCTACCACGGAGGGGATAACGTCACAAAAAACCACGATCTCCTATTGAAAGTGTGTGAGATAGCTGAGACAGTAGGCATCTCAAAAGATAATATCCTGCATGAAATTTTGGGCATCAGAAAACTGTTGGTGCGATGGGTGCTGCGTTTGCTCACTCCAATCACTGCACTGCAATCTTGACTTACCCTATACTTACAACTCTGAGGAAAAACTACTCTCATGTCAAAATGACAGACCTTTCGCGCCACTTTCGAATCTCAATAACAGTCGGTTCGAACTGGGTGGTACGAATAGTATCGATTCTTTTATGTGTTGACCGTTGGGACGTGAGACACACGAATGAAACTTAGTTTTGTGCGTAAAAAACAGAAAAAAATAAAATATATTATGAATCAAAAAGAGCCTGGAAAAAACCATCGTGAGGAAAAAAAACATGGCATAAACACACACACAGAAACACAAGAAATAAATCTATTACTATAACAAAATCCACAAATCAAACATCTCAAATTGTACAATAAAAATCAGGTATCAAGTCAAATATGCACCTAAACAAATTAACAAAAACGAGATATAACAGACATCATAAATATAAATGAAAAACAAAATAAACAATTTAGTACAAAAACACATTAAGCACATCTACGATCAATTTACAGTAAAAAAACATCGAAATGAAAACGGCTACCATTAATTTAACACGAGAATGCAACCAGTGAGTATTCAAGGTAAAATCGGTTCATACAAGCAAACCCACATATTAAACAGAAGAAATGTTAATTAGAGGGCCCCCTTCTCGTATTGCTAAGACACAACAGCTGCAATTCGGAGTACATATACTTATTTGGTGTTATCGTCACTATTTATTTATTCCATAACAAAACAAAATAAAATAAATTTATAAGGAATATGACCCGGTGCTGTTTACGCACGGCGAATCGCCGGGGCTCGTTGAGGGAAATCGATGGCCTTAATCGCTGACGGCGGCAAAAGGCTCAGTCACGCTGGTACGGGCGATCGTTTCAGAAAGTTCCAGAGGACGTTCCTTCGGTGTTGTCCTTACTTTTTCCGAGTTTCGGGTAGCAGTAATTACATAATTTCCTGGTTAAACGATGCGCGTAGGCTAGTGAACTATTAACTTCAATCTAGGAAGCGCGAAGCGCTGAAACGACAATACAGGCTAGGGAGCGCTGGTAGTGTAGGCTAGTGGGCTCTACTGGAGCTTTTCAGACTGTTTTCTTCGTCGGCTAATATAACCGCCGCGCCTGTGCATGGGAGGCGCGCGATTTAATTGGTTGCACGACGGCTGGCGAACGCACGCGATGTTTCGCGACCACCCTTTTGCCAGCGCGCGATTTGATTTTATGGCGAACGCATAATCTGATTGGGGTACGGCGGGTGGCGAGCGCTTGTAAAATTGCGCGACGCCACACTTACAAGAAAAGAAAATAATTACGACGTGTAATGACACCTTTTAAAACAAAAAATACAAAATCAACGTTGAGAAATCCGGTACACCAGCACGCTACTCAAGGGTTCGGAACCTAGCAACCCACGCAGACTTATTTCTGCCAAACTCCATCGCAAAAAAATCCCTGTTTACTGTATCTGTGCAGTCTTTTCACGATTGCTCTATACAGAGCGTTTCCTTATTTTTCATAGTGCTTTTCCTTCTGATGTGAGATGTGTTGCCTAACAGTAGGCGTACCACAACAAATATATCATTTAAAAAAAAGGTTTTTCTATCATTGATAGATTTGTAGTAATTTTGCTTTGCCAGACATCAATTCTCCTCCCTGTAGGCGGTGTGATTTTTTTTGGAATATAAAATATTTCAAAAGCGGATAATTTTTTAGCACATACCATTTAAAACAACACAGTTGGGTCTCGTGCTATCAAAAATTGAACCTCCAATGACCCCAAGGTCCAAATATAGTAAAAAGAGAGCACCATGTTGCTACAATTAACGAATATTACACATTTGATTGCAGATGTCTAATTTGTTGATGACACCTGCAATGGCCCATCACGTATACAAGCGAGATGAGGCGGCGCAGTACCTAAACAAGAAGAATTTAGTCACATCATTTCTAAGGCTTTCAAAGCGGCATGTGGTTTGTGTAATCGAAATAGGAATTTGAGTTTAGGCCCCTCATAATTGCCGTGTATGTATATAGCAGTAACAGTAGCAAAGGAACACAACTTAAACAGCAATCCTAATACTTTGGTGGTTCTCACATTTTGAGAACCGCTGAGGTTTGCTTTGCCAATCACTTTTCCTAATAACATTTTTTTTTATTTACACAACTCTGTCTACAGATAATAGAAACAGCACAACAGACTGTACGCTATAGTTATCTCTCACTAAATAACCATATATGCTTAGGCATATAAGTATTACTGATCTGCCAGCTGGTCTAACCTTAATGGGCCAATAAGCGCTCTCCTTTTGTACAGATTCATCTCTCCTCTCAGTGAGTGTCTATTGAACATACATCAAAGCTCATTTACAAATGAAATTTTCAGGCTTTACATACTTCAGTATCAAATGCAAGTAAATGCAACTTGGGAATATACTCTTATATTGTACTTTTTACTTACAAAAACGATCATAATAAAAAAGGCAGCAAAATAAGTACTTCTGGCCATCCACATACTGACAAACCGGTAATGTTCACCTGTGACAACATTCCTGAAAGAGACACGACGATTAAGAGACCGTGCAGCTTCACTGTGCATACCTCAAGTAGCCTTTATTATCTTCTTTTTCAGCAAGGGCTTTAATAGACGCCATTAACAAATCGTCAAACCCTAAGAACTCCTCCAACACAAAGCGACTAAACGCATCCCCGAAACATGCATCACTCCCCGGATCCAAAGTAACAATCTGCACAGGAATTCCTAGCCTTGCTCTCGTGGAAGGGCTCAAGCGGAGAAAGCCATACTCCAAAGAATACTCCACTATATATTCATCTTCGGGCCAAGCTGAAATAAATTCACTTAATCATCTGTGCGAAATGAACCCTTTGTTACCTTTTGTAGATTTCTCAACCAAGACTTTCCTCTTAGTTTGACTGTCCTCACTGACAAAATGTGACACAACACTTTGGTTAGGGTACTTCACTGCACTTTCAGCATCATTAACGCCGACTTGCAAACCACTCCAAGCTGTGGTGGTAACCTGCACACTGTCCGATAAATTTTCAATAGCACTAGGTAAAAAATTAATAATATTAATTTGCTCGTTGGTTAAATCAGTCTGATTCCTGTAGTATGTATCGAGAGGTTCAGTCTCCTTACCACTGTCTTGGACCGACGACGGTTCGATGTTAATAATACCGTCTCTAACGACAAATCCCAGCATGGTTGTGAAGTCCTCGTCCTTTTCGTGTTTTAATTTCTGCTCCTTTGCGTAACTTTTCTCTATGCTGTAATCTTGGCCTGGGTTACGTACTATTTCCACCCTCAGTATGCCGTCCTTCGGCCACGTGTGCTTTATATGATCTAAACACGTCACAGGTGTTTTGGTGAAGGCTACGTGTATGTAAACTAAGACGAAGAAAGCCCCAATCGCTTTCAACAGTACCATGAATTCGATTATACGTCGTATCGGTTTAGGAACAGTTCGGGCGTATGCCAGAGCAGTACGAAAGAAAAGTGTGTGGAACAGGCGGTCCCTGACGTGAAACAGTGGGTTTTGATTATTGTTATTTCTTAAACGATTGGTGTTTATAAGTGGTCCGATGTTTACATAGTTGTTCTCTGGATTTACACCTTCTGTGGCGGTGACTGCTGGTGGATTGTTTCCTGACATTGTTGATGTTGTGTGTGTCTCACTGTATTCTTAAAATTAGTTTCCTTATAAGCATTTTTAAATAGGGCAACAGGTTTGAGCAACTTGATCGCCGAAACACTCTACCTATGCTATTTATATTTGCATACGTGATTAATTCTTGTACACATTTTACTATTTACGTAAGAAGCAGCGTTAAAATTCGCTATTCACTTAACGTAATTGTAGATAATTATAATTAAGGAATAAAAACATCATTTGACAGCTGTCACAGACTTGTGAGGTTATAGCAGACAAGAGTTTTTCGATTCTTACGCTATGACTCGCACAACACTATACGTATAATAATAACTGAATTATTATTAATTGCGACATGTGTGATATATGTTATCAACTTTGTTTAAAACAAATTAAACAAAATAACCTTATTATTACATAATACAGATAACTGTAACATCAACTGATCAACTTCGGTTGTCTTGTCAGTGCCTCTCAAAATTTTATACACAATGCAGTTCAAATTACATCCCGCCTTCATTTTTTATTTCCGATCCACAAAGTACATTAAAAATAAAAAGACCCGTGTGTCCTCAATTTTTATTTGCGAGTAAAATAAACCCAAAATAAATTATTGAAAAGCTGTGTTTTTAGTCCGAATTTGAAACGCTTCAGACTAAATACGTCACAAACCTACAACCAATCACGTAGAAATGAGCTGGCAACCTTACGCGAGGGTCTGACGTTTGTCACATTTGACGTTTTGAGAGGGATGTTTAACTGCATCTAGCACGAAAGTGACAAGTGCCTGTGACAGATGACGCAAGTTATAAATGCCATTCTCCTGCAATATTGCCAAGTCGTTATGTCATCTGAATGGTTCTAGGAGCTGATTGGTCGGGCTTATTACGTCACAGAGCCCGCCACAATCATATCGTTTTGCATAAACCTTTAAAACCGCACATGTTCATTATTATTGGTATACCTATGTCCCTGGCATTACTTATATCATTTTTTTAATATCTTCTAATTGAACCATCATTTTATAAATTTTTTTTTTCCTTTATTTTTGAGTGGGCGGAGTTTCAGCCAACCCACTATACATTTACAAATATCCATGCCCGAACCCAGATTCGAACCAGGGACCCTTAGCACCACAGTCCAGCTTTAACTGAACTACGCCACACGGGCCGACCAAAACAAAATAATAACAAGCTCAGCACACAAAACAATGACCACTTAACAAAATCTTAGAGCAATAGTTACACATAACAGTCGATCTGGGTACATCTTGTACAGTACGTATAGTTTTATGGTACCAATATAAAGATCTTAGATGTTGCCATTTTTACTACATACAATATGCGGGAAATTTGATTGGTATAAAAAGCAGAGGAAAATTCCCAGTTAAAATCGTTATCTTTCATTTAAGGACTCCAAACCGCCTGGTGTTCAAAAGGCTTGAAATTCAGTCAGTTATTGTGATAATTGTGAATGTTAACTAGGTAAATTTAGCAGAACCTCGTATTATTGTAGGCGACTTTTGAGCAAATTATTTTGAGAAAAGCACTTTTGTACAGCCCATACTATTTAAAAACTTCTTTTTAAATTTACATATTAAAAACAAAGAAAACAGGTACAATATATTGAACAGTAATGGAATAGAATATTAAAACAATGTTACATTATTCGTCATATAAAAATAGTTTCAACAGCTACCACTTCGTTATTGCACATCTAAACTAACTTAGCGGCCGGCTGGACTAGCGAAATGATGCCGGCAATAGAAGAAATCACGCCCAGCAAACCGATTGTACCAGGAGACAGCTTGGTATGTCCCAATGCCGTTAGTGGAATAAATACATCACAACAGTTTTTAACTGTGTCAACAACAACATTTTGATACCCTTGAACGCAAATGGCAGCATTGGCACTGCATGAAAATATGTCATTGAAATCTTTAAGGCCGTACTTAGGCAAAATCCTACTTCTGTTAGTCTTTAGTATTACTAATATCTCATAAAAATCGCGAACTAAATTCATAATAATCGAAAACAGCCAATATCGATTGGAAATGCTGCTCCATTTGTCAGTATTGATGGTGTACAAATCTGAACGACCTAGCCAGAGGATATGGTCCGCAAATAAGAATATGGCATGGCATATTTTACTAAGCGTTACTGATAATCGTATGCTAAGATTGGGATTTTGCCAGCTTTGTGCTACTGTGTACAAACTTTCGACACATCTTCCAAATCTGAGCACTGAAAGAATAAACACTAGATATGCTCACAATAAATCATACTTACACTTTCGAAAGGTGCTTAATTGATATTCTAACGCTTTTAGATTATGAACTCCACCTTTCTGATGGTATTGAAAGCGATGCCACAGATATCGACTGAGGTATTGTAATAACCTCGCAATTTTATCTCTGCCAGCAGTTTGATTATTCAATTTTATTAAACTCTCCATTTTGTCGTGGAGAAATACTAGTCATATCGTTACTGTTGGGGCAGGTCAAAGTTCAAACATTAAACAAACGTTATTGTACTTTGCAATATAAATATTTATCTCCAGTGATAAGTGAGGTTAAAATTTGAAATATTTTCGTAATGTACATGTTGGCAACACTGTTCATTTTTGTAATTGAAAACCAGGATGCGTATTTAGGGAACGGCGTTAGTTACCATACAAAACTTTTTGGACCTTTTTGCCAAATTTATTCGCCATACCCTGCATAAAATTAGAGATAGGGTATTTACAAAATTATATGCAAAGGTACTTTTCTGTACACAGTACGAAGTATTACAGCTAAACGAGCTAAACCTTCCTATATTTTATATTCAAAGATTTCTAATAATAGCCTACAATGCTAATTCTTTGAAATACTGCATACTATTACTTATTTAAGTGGCTCCTATCCTATAATGAGTCAATAGGTCTGTTTAGCACAAAAATGGCTGCCTAGTAGCCTTAAACTAGGAAGAATTCTACACCAATCCTTCCAGGTGTCAATTGTGATTAGCATTCACTATGTCGATCCCAGTAGAGACAAAAGGTAATTTTCAATCACAGCCAATGCTAAAAACAAACAAACAATAAGTCCACTGAATTACCTTATCTGCGTATACCTAAATTGCTATTAAAATCTATTGCCAGATTATAAGCATTATCATTAGAATGGTTTTCCACGCTTACATCAGCACCTCGAAACAATAATTCGTTACAACAATGTGGATGGTTACCTCTAGCCGCATACATTAGAGCTGTATTTCCTACCTAAAATAATGTACATGAAAATATGTAAATGGTTTACTGTACTAACATCGTCCACATGATTTGCATTTGCCCCTTCATTGAGCAATAATCGTACAACCTCATGATGACCGCCGCTCGACGCGAGTAATAAAGGTGTTTCTCCTTCGGGACCTAATTTATCAATCTCTGCACCGCACCTTATTAATAATTGAGCCGTGGTAATCTGCCCATATGCACATGCCCAATGTAGGGCTGTTAAACCATCAGTATCAACTGTATCAACGCTACTTTCACTTTTAATATCCGCCTCAGTTATTTCCCCTTGGCCGGCTCGCGTGTGGAAGTTTATGTCAGCTTCTTGTGGTATTGGAGTTTCAGCTTGTGTGTTTCCTCTTTGTAAATTAGTCAAAACAGTTCCTAGACTTTGTTTATATGGTTGGAATGCACTTTTACGGTTTGCATCTTGCCATGAACCGGGTGACCACTTTGAAGGAACGGAATTGTACTCAGATGTGGATGGGATTACGGGAACTTGAATGCTGTTAGACACTGGAATTGTGTTTATAATCGGTTTAATGTCTTGTTCCTCTGGAATTTCCATTTTGTTATTGGTAAATATAACCTAAGATTAGACAGACGTCATTTTAATTGAGTGTAGTAAAGTTAGCAACAGTTGAATTGAGTGAGTGGTTCTCAACATTTTTAAAGCTGTCCTCTATGAAAACAGAATGGAATTAAAGCGACGTGATTTCAGCAATTGAAGGCTTTGACAAAATCATTTGCTGCTTTCCTACAGCATTTTAAGGCCCTTTCCGAGCTGTATATTCTTGTCCCACTGCTTTCTTTCTAGGGCTTTTCCATTACAATTTAGGATCATCTAGGTATATATGTATCTATGAAGAGTTGTTGGGTATCGATTCTCTCTCTCAAGATGCTCGAAATGCGGTAAAATTACAAATCAAGTGGCAAAAAATCCCCAACTTGTTTATACATATAAGGGTCAAGCAGAAAATTGGTCCCTCATGCTCCGTAAGCCGATCTTTAAAATCGGCAACCTGTGGCGTTTTGAGTCTTATCTGCTTGCACACTCGCTTCTTATTTGAAAGCGCTTCATTTCATTGCATGCCGGACATACTACTATGCATTAAAACAATAAATGTAAAAATAAGAATCATTTCCTGTCTGGTTGAACCATTGAATAACGAAGTAATTTTTCACTCAACGGTTGAACGTATAAGCTAAAAGTTCAAATTACATTTGTGAAAGGAATCCACGAATTAAGAATGGGATAAAATGTTTTCGAGGATATTCTCAGTTTGGGTATTCGCTGTATATGCACCAGTTAATTATGCTGAAATACCTTTATAGCACCATAGATTAAGAAATTTTAATCTATGATGGCAGGAAATCCATTCAATTAAAGCACTTCAAATTAATTAATAAATTAGTCGGACGCGTAGATCGAAAATCGATCTTACGTTTAGATCTAAAGAATAATGTTTAATAAACCTGTGCAAAAAACTAATTTATTTTAATAAATTGGCATTAAAAAGGACAAGGGTCATCAAGGATTTGATCTTGATTTATAAACCAGCTTGTAGCGTTTCGTAGTGATTTTAAATTGTTCCCGCGTAATTTGTTTTAAAAATTTGTGAAATCAAGGCAAGTGGTTGCCCTTGCATGTACATGTACGATAAGCAAAGCGGTTTTCCACGTGAAGTTCGGCATTAGATTGAATGTGGTTTAACCGAACGCTGTAAGCTGATTCTTTACCCACATTTGTTAAAAAAATTGCCTTTGGTAGTTTGTTTCTTCAGGGTGATTTTGGGGTGTTCGTGTCGATATTCGGTAAGTGGGGTTCGTTCAATAAACTTAGGGTAATTGTGTGTTTAATCTTTTAGGCCGTTGGGTACAGATGGGCGATAACTGTTTTCACCTATCGATAAGTATCGGGTACTTACCTATCGATATATTTTACTTATCGATATGCCGATAATTATCGAAATATCGATATATATATCGATAACTATCGAAATATCGGTAACTATCGATATGTCGATAGTTATCGATATATCGCTAGTTATCGATATGTCGATAGTTATCGATATATCGATAGTTATCGATATATCGATAGTTATCGATATGTCGATAGTTATCGATATGTCGATAGTTATCGATATAACGATAGTTATCGATATTTCGATAGTTATCGATATTTCGATAGTTATCGATATTTCGATAGTTATCGATATATCGATAGTTATCGATATATCGATAGTTATCGATATATGATTACTATCGATAGGTATCGATATATCGATATGTCGATAGTTATCGATATATCGATAGTTATCGATATGTCGATAGTTATCGCTAGGGATGGGCGATAACTGTTTTCACCTATCGATATAAGTATCGGGTACTTACCTATCGATATGTTTTACTTATCGATATGCCGATAATTATCGAAATATCGATGGTTATCGATACACCGATAACTATCGAAAGATCGATAACTGCCGCTATATCGATAAGTTTCGGTATATCGATAGTTCTCGTTATGGCGATAGTTTTTAATATATAGGTATCGATATAATATTACCGATAATTTTTTTGAAAGCGTGTCTAAAACTGCATGAGTTTACTTTTATATTTTGGCGAAAGAGCCCGACAAGACAAGAGGGCTCTTTTAACAAAATATGAAAATAACCCAATGCAGTTCTTGCAACTTTAATGGAGTTACCATATTAAATGTGCAATTATCGCAGGGCTCTTTAGCTTTCTACAATGCAATTACCGCTGTAATTAAGCGGTAATTGCACGCCTCATTTGAGAGAAATATTCGACGTATCGATAGTTATCGACAGGGATAGTTATCTTATCGAGTTTTATTAATAAAATCCATTTTCCGGTTTATTCTCGTGTAAAGTGACTATTAATAGTTACTCGACGTTTCTTTGCTACCTTTATCAAGAGTTTTTTGTTAGATTTCGTAAATGTCAATCAATTGAAACTGTATATCTAAATTTGAAGTGTTCTTAGCTTTTTCTGTTTTTTTGTGACTGGTCCTCTGTAACCATCAATCAGGTACCGATACATAGGCCATGATTACACCCTTTGATTGTCTTCTTTATTTTATCTAAAGAGTAGCCATTTTGATGCAACATTTTGTTCAAGTTTTTGAAGTGCTCTTTTTTTGAGCAATCGTCAGTAAGACGAAAAGATCTATTTTCTAAAGATTTTATTACTGCGTTTATTTGGCATGGATGATGATGTGACGTAGCGCTTCTCTTGAGAAAGGGAGCAAAGTTAAGTTTCCGAAACGTCGAGCAACTAAAAATAGTAAATTTACACGAGATGAGTAAACCCGAAAATGGATTTTATTAATAAAAATAGTAGCGCTCGTTGAAATCTCAACAATAACATAATTTTATCGTACCAATAGTTATCGACATATCGATATATCAATAGTTATCGACATATCGATATATCGATAGTTATCGACATAACGATATATCAATAGTTATCGACATATCGATATATCGATAGATATCGACATATCGATATATCGATAGATATCGACATATCGATATATCAATAGTTATCGACATATCGATATATCGATAGTTATCGACATATCGATAGTTATCGACATAGCGATAGGTATCGATATATCGATACTTATCGATAAGTATCGATATATCGATAGTTATCGATATATCGATATATCGATTTTTTTAGCTCTACCTATTGTTATTCGATATATCGATAACTATCGATACCTATCGATATATCGAAAAAAATTCCCATGCCTAGTTATAATTATTGCCTTTAGTTTGAAAATTGGTAAATACCCACCTAATCTTATCCAGGGTGGATTGAAAAAGGAAGTTCCATTTCCCATTACTCGGGTTACGAATAAAAAAGAAGAACAAGTAGCTAAAGCATAATCGCCCAGTCAGGGTCGGTCCAGTCACGGGATTTACCGCAGGTTGGCCCACCGAGTCCCGTTTTTTATTGTGAAACAACGAGAGAGCAAATCAACTCTCCGTCCAGCTGTCTTATCACCTGCCGGCCACCCAAGGACAATCAAAGTTTCGGAAAGCAAATTGTTTCTTATCATCATTATCGGCTAGGAGACGGTCGAACTGCAGGTAACCTTTGCGAAAACACCCAGCGGTCATGCGAGATATTAAGTATACCCAGAAAAGTTATTAAAAGTTGTGTTTTATAGGCGTCTTGCCATTTTATATTTGTTTATGTAATACCCACCGATAGTCCCACATTTTGGGCTACTTTGTGTACCTAGGTATTGTTTTTTTTTGTAATTTAAATGTGTGCATGTGTTAGTGAACGGGAAGTAATTCTCATTATACATTATGGGTATCTATGTTTGTAAAGAACCACTATTCTTTTGTTTATTGTATTTTCAATAAATTATTTGCGAGTTTGAGAAACTCAGTTTTACTTAATCTAAACATCAATTTTTGCAAGGACACCATCTCAATAATCGGTACCTGAAATAGATACGCATAAATATTTTGTGAAAACTATGAACTGTTTAAACAATATTTGTTCAGCGTTAATGACATCTATTATCTTTTCACACCTAAGTACTTGTTAAGACTGATAAAATGAGATTAGTATACTTATTAGGATTTGGAACAGTAAGTTATACCCATTCAGCACGACGGGACTTTTATATGGGGGAATCCCATCAACACAAAATGAATTATAAATCATAGTTAATTATTTGCAACGTTGATTGTGTAACCATGAACGGGACTTCTATCGACACTGTATTGCAAATTTTAAAATGGATCGTAAACACTCTTTTCCATCAATGCGTGGCTGTTGTGGCAGTGTACACTATATGGATCCCAATTGAAAACTACTCTGCGCCATTTTCATGGCATGTAATTTTGTGCACGCTTGGTGTAAGTAACATTTATTTTTGTATTTGCATATTACGATGACGTAGCTGTAAGTATACAATACGTACCTACAGTAAACAATATTAACTTACCTTTTTTAATGGAAAGTTACTGAGCACACTCTGTCAGGCGTTACAATTTATCGAAATTTGCATGCATCTGTAACAATTAACAGTGCCAGAAACAAAACATTGTAGCAAAGATAATATTTTGTTCTCGAAAGAGTTTCGCTGGTAATTTATATAATGTTCCCTTTTTTCTCGACCTTCACTAAAGTTCCTTCTACTTTTGAAAACTACAACATAGTGCACCATTTAATTTACAGCTCTTTCCAATAGTAGCGGAATGCCTGATCCTTTTCTCAAAACAGAACGTGTGGAGTCAAGAGATTGATCGGAAACAAAAATACTGGATACATGCGATATTAATATCGATTGGAGCGTTCTTGATCATTTTTGGAACCGCTTTGGAAACCTACCGAAAGGCAGTGCATACGGATCCGAATGTGAAAAATTTTGAGTCGGCCCATGCCATTACTGGTAAGTGCTCTTTTACCTAATAAAAATAAGTTATACATATTAGGTACTTATTTTTAGGTTTAATCGGGATTATTTTCATTGTATTTGCGATGGTATGTGGCCTCTTAGCGTTTAACACTCAAAGGATTTACAGATGGAAAGAGAAGTTCCGACCTATATACTTCAAATTCGCACATAATGTTATTGGGCAGACGGCGTATTTATTTTGTTTAATTTCCTTCTGCTTGGGATATTTCACACCGTGGTTTGTTTATTACACATCGGAGGCATCGCGAATATCTGCAACAGTAGTGTCGGTGATTGTCGCCTTTTGGTCGACGATTTGTGCGTGGAGATCACTTGTTAATCAAATTAGATCTTTACGGAATGTTGATAATTGATAAGGCTTTTTCTATGAAAAAGATAAGAAACGTAATGTGACCTTTGAATAAAACTAATTGGTAAATAATTGTACTTTGCAGCCGAAACCCGAAGTCTGAAGGTAATCTGGAGGCAAAGAAGGAGTATCGAAGCACTTATTATGGCAAGCTAATTCACTAAAGGATCAGTAACTTTCCGTGAAACTTTCATAGCAAAAAAACTGCTCCTTAACTATTTCTTCAATTAATCCATAAGCAACACTTTAACCTTTAACCCTCACGATTTTAAAATTTAACTCTATGCAATTCTATTCGGGAGGGTGTAACTTTAGTGAGTAGTACTATAGAGGAAATTCCTATATATTCCAGCAATACTAAGATTTTATCAGTTCAGCCCTTAGACAAGAAAGAGAGGGGACCCGTAATACCGCATCCACGGCATGCGTGAATTTGACGCGAATTTCGAGACGACCGCCATATTTTCGGTGGCAGACAAAGCTCGGTGGCAGTGTGAATTTATTGACATTTCTTCATTATTGATAAAGTTTGTGTGTGCAAAACTGTGTGATATAAACGTGGTGAATTGTTCTGCGTACAACTGTAAAAGTTGCAGTGGTCGTTGTCCAGCAGGAATATCATTTCACAGGCAAGATAAAAAACGGCACGTTGTCTGGTTTGGCTAAATTTAATTAAATCTTCATGGTAGTTAATAAAACACTTCTAAGGTCTTCATTTTCACAATCTTATAATTGTCCTATATGCATGAATAAAATACTGCTTTATACTTCTTTTCATTGATAATTTCTCGATTACAGTATAATATAACCTGCAAGCGATATTCCAGTGGCGGCGTGACATCTAGTTACATCACGTAACAAATATGTACATGGTTGGATGCCTAACCCTTAAGCGACTGATTACTTTGTATGGAGTAGTTTAACTATAGTGTATGTTGCCTTTGTACTTACATGTAGTCTGCGCAGGGTGCACGACAGATAGGATTTGGTCTTAAAAAGAGAGAGGTCATCGATGGATGTTCGAAACAATACACATCGATCGCCGCCACATTCGATAAAGACAAGATATCCTGAAGGAAGATCGTTATGATTAAACCCGTTAGGGGAGAAGACATCTCAATTCAATATTCACCGTCGTCATCGTCAACGGTTTGCTATAGTATCAACAGCTTATTACTGAAGTACAAGAAACTGCTTAGGGCTTTATTACCAGAGCCTGTTGTCGTATAATTGTGAGTATTCCAATTCATTTATTCTATTTTATGGTTGCTATTTTGTTTAGAAATAATTTCCCATTCTGAAACCATCAGCTGCGTTTGCCCTCAAGATTCACTCGGAAAAGAATATAGGTACATTTATTTTATTTGTACAGTTTTCAATATAAGAATTATTTACTAAGGTTGTACTTTATTTTCCTTCATGATAACAACCAAACTGATAAGAAGTGTATCAATCAAGATAGATTACAGTTCATTAATTACTTTGTTGGTGCATGATCACCTGTTTCTCCGCACTTAGCCGCAAACAGTATATAAGCTAATGATCTGTCTCCAAAAGGGGAAAATTATGTCAGAACAGTGTATGATACTGGTGTGCACCATCGGCAAATTGTACCTATAAATCAAGCAATTGTTCCCCAGGATTCACATCAGAAGCGCTAACTGCCATTCACAATTAAGCAAGCAGATATATCGGGAAGAAAAAGATTCAATGTGTCCCAGGTAGTATGCACCATAGGGAAACGACAATGTATTTTTTGCGAAGGATCCTAAAATAAGCCAGGACCATCTGGAATTATTTTCTTCTTCCAAAAGATCAAGGGATGGATAGAATAACAACCCCACCTCAAGGCAGTTTGAAAGTGCATATACCTACAAACGCTTGCTGATTACAACAGAGTTGTGAGATAGTGGGGAGTTGTATTCCTCGGGATACAATCCTCATTCTATATAACTTGTCCGTCGCAAGGAAGCAACGAACAAATTATTAATGCTTCAATTAATTGGAACAATGAAATAGAAGTGGAAGATATGCAATAAATGTTTGTTCAAAAAGCATGAAGTCTGCAATATTGAACAAATTGTTAAATACGTTGCAGGGTTCCTCACCAGAAAGATGTGTGCATTAATTAAAAGCGAAATGTGTTGCAAAGTGCTATTGGAGCATAACGAACATATACCGTACCTACATTATACTCTTTTATAATTTACCCTTTTTCAGTTTTGGTCGCTTCAAAAACGGGGTGTGCAGAATTTTACTAAAGGTATATGTGGTAATATCTACATACTTATGTAAGTATACTTTCAATAATATTGCGTTTATATCGCGCACCCAGTTTCCGAAACGATCAAAGTCGAGTCGTATGTTTACGTTTATCGCGTTTTTTGTCTCTATTCAAATAAGAACCCAATATTATGTCCGACAACTGTACACAGGTTAATCGTACCATGATGGCAGTATAAATAAATTGTAATTTCCTAATGTAATACCCGAGCGGGCGCCACTGGTGGTGGCAGTATGATCGCAATTTGCTTCACGCGCGCGCTCTCTATTACGGGTCCCCTCTCTTTCATAGTTTAAGGGAAATCGTACTTAACTTGAACTTCCAAAGGTGACTCGACAGATCGCTCGTTATAAAGTTACGATTATTCTGATATTCATGCCATCCAGTGAGTTCCAGTTGAGTGCAATCTTTATCTGGAATTAAATAAAACTAATCGATTCTATTTCGCGCGTGTAAAAACAAACAATTATTTGACGAAGACAATCCTGTATACATTGACTTTTATTATTTTTGAATTTGATTGCTAAGATTCACTTATTTAGGGTTATTGTTTTAGTATTTTAAGATAGGTTTAGGTAGTGGCATTGTTTAAATACTTGAACAATGTTAGTGGCCGAGGTAGTGGCCGTGGGGAACGAATTTAAATTTTGACTGATTACAGTGTTGTATTTGATTTAATAACGTGTAATAAATGTGTTTAAAGTTTTAAACGATATCTGGTAATCTTCACAACAATTACTGATTTTCTAATAATGGACAAGTAAATTCTTATATATTCTATTAATTAATTTGAGTTATAGTATATTCGCTGTAGCTTTGCGGGTTTGTAATTAGGAATTCCCACAGTATGGTTCAAATCTCATCTTCAATGGTTAATATAGCCTTGTTTACTTGTGAATTGCTCGGGGCGTTCAAAAATGCCCAAGATATACATAAGTTAGGAAAGGCAAGAACGTGTCTTCAAAAATTAAGCGCTAACGACATACCGGCAAAGCTACAGCGAATATACTATATTAACTTTCCAAATTGTGGTCATAAATATGTAATGATAATAGTAAGATTAGCAGTAAAGGAAAAATGATTGAATTCTGTCCTAACCTTACACCACTATATTTACCTGAGTTAGCTGGAAGTGAAAAAGTATAATTAAGGTAAGTTCTGAAATACTTAACCAACGACACCAATCGCCAAGAAAAGAAACGGATAATAATAATATAATAATAATAATATTTTATTATCCAAACAAGTAAATATACTCAATAACAGGACAATATTCCAAAAAATTACAAAATCAAAAGTTCATGCGAGTATTGTTGATGAATGGCTCCATATTAAATTAGTGTGTGGTCTAAATGGTTGTCGAAAATATTACACTAGTGTTGTTTATTGACGTCACTTTACCATATCCTATCATCCTATCATTCGTCACATAAATTGTACAGATTTCAAAATAATTTTCAAAATAATATTCAGATAAAACATTCTTCACTACATTTTCCATGATTCGTTAGCCATCCCGACGTATCGCCTGATGATGGACGAGAAAAAAGTCCGAAATCGATAGCGACTAACATTTTTCAATAAACAAAATTAGTGTAATATTTTCGACAACCATTCATGCGAGTAGTTAAGTAATTCAGATAAAAAAACACTTCAAGATATTAATAAAGAAAATAAATTATAACTCTAATGATTGTAACAACCGATCCAAACCTTTATGAAAAGCGCGGATAAGTCATTAATAATGAGCAGATTAAATGTACTGGAGAACTCTGAAGCACATTGGTCTTACATCTTGGGAGGCAAAATGGTGCTGGGCATCTTGAGGACAAACGTGGGACGCGGACGCAGAATCCAATTTTCCCGAGCACAGGCAATCAATTTTATTATTTAAGAGATTATACATAAATGATAGGCAGAGATGTTTTTTCTAGTTTTAAGGGACATCAGCTCAAACCGTTCACACATTATCTGCTAAGAAAACCGATTGGGTGGATAGACTCCATCTTTCCTATAGCCGCCGCTGGATGTATTCAATTGCTTCATCGTATTTTACATACAGGGGGAACCAAATCAACGCCCCATACTCTAATTTGCTCCTAACCAAGGATGTATACGTATCGGTAAAAGCGGAGCTCGATCGAATAATAAATCCCAATGTCTGAGTTGGGCGTTTTACTATGGCGTTTATGTGATAGGAAAATGTTAGGGCACCGTCAAAGTTCACCCCTAAGTCCTTGATTATTTTCACCTTTTCCAATACAGTGCCAGCTAGAGTGTAGTCGTAGTGCAGTTGATTACGTTTACGAGAAAAGGTCATAGTCCTGCATTTCGAAACATTCAAATTTAGTTTGTTAGATCGGCACCAATTCTGTTATAGGGAGTTCAAATCATGTTGAAGTTTAATGCAATCGGCTATGCAGGTGTTCTGAGAAAAAAATTTGAGATCGTCGGCGAACAACAGCTTATGCGACGATATACGACGGGGCAAGTCATTAATAAATATTAAAAATAGTAGAGGACCAAAATTGAATCCTTGGGGCACACCTGAGTTTGCAGTAAATACAGATCTATAAGATAAGAAGAATATACACAGTGAACCGTCGGTACTTGTAACCATCCGTTACAAAATGTCACCAAAGAGTGCGGCTGTAGCGTGAGGACCGTTACAGTACACTCCCTTCGAAAAATAAATTGTTTTTCTAAAAGTGTTGTCTATACTGTCACGCAGAGTGCATAAAGTCAATATCTCAGACATACGCAACAAGTTAAAACGTCCAAACGTGAAACGCACATGTGCGGACGATAGCGTATTTTTCATAGCATGCCTACCAGGAAAGAATGCCAATCACAGAACACCTGATGTCTGTCTACAATCGTATGGTTTACTATGAAAAACATACGATTGTAGATGTAGACCGGCATCAAGCGGTCTGTGACCGGCATTCTCTCTTCTGTTGGCGAGTAGGTATGTAAGAGTATCTACTCGTATCTTTCGCTTTAATCCCAACCAAAACGAGAGTATGACAAGAGGAACACAAAAGTCTATCTCTATTCGTGAATGAAACGATCTTTCCAAGAGCCCTCTGCATGAATTCTTTCACCGTATCCGTTATGTTGGTTGCATCAAGATCGTCTACATATCCCTCTTCTGGTCGTGCAAACCACTCGTAGCCAGGGGGTGACCATGGTATGACCGCGTCTCTAGGATAATTTTATTTTTTTTGTCTTGGCAACGATAAATAAAGCTCAAAAGATAGCAATGACACATCGAAAGCTGTCAATTTTTTTTCATTTTTAGCCTTTGAAAAAAAGAACACAAAAAGTTAATCTACGGAGGGTACTCAGTAGTCAATGCTTTTTTCTTCAGCCCCACCTGTTTTGCACCTCTTATTATACTTTATTTTGGCACGGGCCTGGCACCAAT